GTTGTGGCGCGAAGCACATTTCAAAGTCAAAATGTACAAAACACACCAGTGTCGGACCACTTTTGGAAGTTGCGATGTCAAAAAAGTGCACGCCGTTGTGGCGCGAAGCAGATTTCCAAGTCAAAATGTACAAAACACACCAGCTCCGGACCACGTTTGGAAGTTCAGATGTTGAAAAAGTGCACGCCGTTGTGGCGCGAAGCACATTTCCAAGTCAAAATGTACATAACACCATTCTCGGACCACTTTTGGAAGTTCAGATGTCGAAAAAGTGCACGCCGTTGTGGCGCGAAGCACATTTCCAAGTCAAAATGTACAAAACACCACATGTTCGCGCCACTTTTGGAGGTTCGGATGTCGAAAAAGTGCACGCCGTTGTCGCGCGAAGCACATTTGGATGTCAAAATGTACAAAACACACCAGATCCGGACGACTTTTGGAGGTTCAGATGTCGCTTCGCTTCAAGACACTACACTACAGGACATTACACTACAGTACATTCCAGTACACTACATTACACTACATTACAGTCCAGTACACTCCACTACATTAAATTACACTACACCACACTACATTACACTGAATGACACTGCAACACAGATAGACAGGTAGACAGCTAGACAGATGAAAGGGAGAGATAGATAGACATGTAGATAGATAGATAGGTAATTAGATGAATGAAAGAGAGAGAGAGAGAGAGAGAGAGGGAGAGAGAGAGAGGCCAGCTGGGTAGATGAGATATATAGATAGACGGATAGATAAAGAGACAGATAGATAGATGGTTAGACAGATAGACAGACAGACAGACAGACAGACAGGCAGGCAGGCAGACAGACAGATAGATAGATAGATAGACAGACAGACAGATAGATAGATAGATAGATAGATAGAGAGATCGATAGATAGATCGATAGATAGATAGACAGATAGATAGATAGATAGATAGGTAGATAGGTAGATAGGTAGATAGGTAGATAGAAGGAGAGATAGTAGAAGAAGGAAGGAGATAGATAGAAGAAGATAGAGAGAATAGAGCGATAGATAGATAGATAGATAGGTAGATAGGTAGATAGGTAGATAGGTAGATAGGTAGATAGGTAGATAGGTAGATAGGTAGATAGGTAGATAGATCGATAGATAGATGAAAGAGAGAGGATAGATAGATAGATCGATAGATAGATAGATACATAGAAAATAGGCTGGTAGGTAGGTAGATAGTCAGAGAAAGAGATAGAAAGAGTGAGAGAGATCAAGCACCTTTCGGTCCATCAGTGGCTTCGCTCTGCCATCCCTGATTCACAACAACCAACCTCTCCTATAGGTTTCCTATTTTTGAAACTTCCGCCACCGCCTTGTGCGGTACTACTGGTAACTACAAACATATTCTTATTGTTAAGTCATTGTTAACCAATGTTAATGTTGATATGGTTTGTTAAACATCATCACCTGTTTTCTACAAACAATTTGTGACTATAGTGATGATGGTAAGTCAAACAGAGAGTATGATGACCATTGTTGACCCATTGGTTCAGGAGGTGTATATGATTATATAAAGGATGATGATTCATCCATTTCTGAAACAAATGGGGCGGGGCAGCATCAGTGTTTAGCCAGTATGGGAGTATGGGAAGTACTGGCAGCTCAAATCATTGGGTAACAAACGGCTGCAGGGATTCATAGAAGTGCAGACAATCCTCGAAAGAGTTGGGACATTGAAGCCAATGGAGGGTTTTATGTGTATGCTGTATGGAGCTAACAATATTTTACATAGTTATTGCATGATATATTATGTATAGTATACAGTATACATTATATATATATATAAATGATTTATATATATATATATATATATATTTGTATCGTTTTTCCTTGAGCTCACCTGTTGCTTGGCGCAGAATGGCATGAAATGGAACCCAATGGCCCTTGGCGGCCCACGAGGCATGCGAATTCGCAGCTTGAAGCTTGAACCGTTGAATTCAAATGGTAGGATACTAGGTGGGTGAGGTCTGGCTGGCGATGGAATTCGGACAAGATCCTATCCGGATTATTTCGGACAGGTGGGTGAAAAGACTGAACGCAGCCCAACAATGAGTCCAATTGCAACTTGGGCAAGAATGCACACGCTCACACCGTCTCTGAAGGACATCAGGACTCAGTCTCAGCAGATCTCAGCAGTCTATTTGTGAGGTTCCACACACACACAGAGGTTGATCATGTAGAAAAGCGGACTTAAACGAGATGATGGATAATATATGATAATATGTTGTGCTGAACTTGAAGCACTCTTTCCTTGTACTTCTTACACGACACAAAGCGACTGAGCGGAAATTTGGAGGTTTTGACTGGCAAGGTGACAGTATTTCACTTCTGAACTCTGAACAATTGTATCTCCCATGCCTGGGCACTGTAGTTGTTCTAGTGGCATTTGATGACATTTGAGTCCTCATTTCAAGCAATTCCATGCCATTCCATGCAAATTCCAATCTTCAGCCTGAGACTCACTTGCAGTCGCAGGGAGGTGACTCCATTGAAAGGAAACTTCCTGGACCTGCGACAACACTTCCGCCGGTTATTGTGCCGGTCGCGGCAGGGAATCTGCAAAAGGTCAGAGCCACGCGACTCATCACAGGATCGGTCGTAGCGTTCCTGTTCACCTGCGGCAGGAAACAGAGTCGGTCAAACCGCAATACTTCCTGAGAAAACGGATGAAAACGGCGCATGCCTTGTTCCCTCAACTGTTCTTCTATCTTCTTGTGGCCAGTGGAAATGGTTGGGATACGTTGGGATCAAAGCTCCAGTTGGATTTTATCGATCAAATCCCACTAGGTGGGGGCCTTCTGAACTATTCTGAGTGACGTAAACAATACTGTCGGGGTGTTGGTCTCAACATGCAGCATGTACCGAAAAGCCGTTGCTGCCTTTCCGCTTCAAAGATGATATCAGTTTTACTTGGCCTTCCCATGTTCCGATAGAGAAGTCAGCGGTTGGCAACAGAATCTCAGAAACTATCATGAACTTCACGACTAGATTCCCAGAAGTAGTATGGTAAAACATGGTAAAACTTAATTTCCAGATATCCCACATGTTTCAATCACCTGATAGCATCAGATTATCGGGGACTGGGAAGGTGGAGCCAGCAGGACCAAGCCGTACCCAGCATACCAAGTCCGGATCACTTTTTTTCCCCACCTGTCAGGTGAGGGTTGTTAGATTTTATGTCAGCTGTCCTGCCGCCTCCTCCTCCTCCGCTTCCTCCGCCGGACCTCAACTGCAAGCCCAGGATCAGAGTGTTCCCCGCCGGACCTCAACTGCAAGCGCTAGATCGCAGTGTTCCCTGCCGCACCCGAACAGCAAGCCCAGGATCAGAGTGTTCCCCCGCCTCAACTGCAAGCGCTAGATCGCAGTGTCCCCTGCCGCACCCGAACAGCAAGCCCAGGATCAGAGTGTTCAAGCGCTAGCAAGCGCTAGATCGCAGTGTTCCCTGCCGCACCCGAACAGCAAGCCCAGGATCAGAGTGTTCCCCGCCGGACCTCAACTGCAAGCGCTAGATCGCAGTGTTCCCTGCCGCACCCGAACAGCAAGCCCAGGATCAGAGTGTTCCTCGCCGGACCTCAACTGCAAGCGCTAGATCGCAGTGTCCCCTGCCGCACCCGAACAGCAAGCCCAGGATCAGAGTGTTCCTCGCCGGACCTCAACTGCAAGCGCTAGATCGCAGTGTTCCCTGCCGCACCCGAACAGCAAGCCCAGGATCAGAGAGTTCCCCGCCGGACCTCAACTGCAAGCGCTAGATCGCAATGTTCCCTGCCGCACCCGAACAGCAAGCCCAGGATCAGAGTGTTCCCCGCCGGACCTCAACTGCAAGCGCTAGATCGCAGTGTTCCCTGCCGCACCCGAACAGCAAGCCCAGGATCAGAGTGTTCCCCGCCGGACCTCAACTGCAAGCGCTAGATCGCAGTGTTCCCTGCCGCACCCGAACAGCAAGCCCAGGATCAGAGTGTTCCCCGCCGGACCTCAACTGCAAGCGCTAGATCGCAGTGTTCCCTGCCGCACCCGAACAGAAAGCCCAGGATCAGAGTGTTCCCCGCCGGACCTCAACTGCAAGCGCTAGATCGCAGTGTTCCCTGCCGCACCCGAACAGCAAGCCCAGGATCAGAGTGTTCCCCGCCGGACCTCAACTGCAAGCGCTAGATCGCAGTGTTCCCTGCCGCACCCGAACAGCAAGCCCAGGATCAGAGTGTTCCCCGCCGGATCCTCAACTGCAAGCGCTAGATCGCAGTGTCCCCTGCCGCACCCGAACAGCAAGCCCAGGATCAGAGTGTTCCCCGCCGGACCTCAACCACAAAGAATCTCTCAAGATATACTAGATAGAATGCCAGAAAAGAGTGTCAGAATACATGCCAGATAGAATGCCAGAAAAGAATGTCAGATAGAATGCCAGATATATAGCATGCCAGCACGTATGCCAGAACATATGGCAGAAAAAATGCAAGAGAGAATGTCAGTATAGATGACACAAAGGATGCCAGATAGGATGTCAGAATAGATGCCAGATAGAATGCCAGAATACACTGTCAGATAGAATGCCAGGTAGAATGCCAGAATAGAATGTCAGAAGATTATACCGTATGTATTTCCAAATGATATGTCAGAAACTATGACGAATATTGACGAATAAGTGTCAGGGTGGGGATCACTCGAAGTAAAGTATTTTTTCAACCTTGGGAGCCATACTAAGTGTTATTGGTTTTTCATATTACTATAACTATAACCATCCAATCCATTTTTTGTTCGTATTCATCCATTGAAAGCTTATTGAAAGCTTATTGAGGTTCCTGAATCTCGGCACGTTTGGGTCTTGTTCTTGTACCCGATCAATTGTTGGCAAACCCATCCCGCGAAAAAAATGACCACCCAAACGAACCCCTGGTCCAGTATAGGGGTCCCAAAATTATATTATAATTATAGTTCAAAATTGGGTGGATCGGTACATGTTGATAGAAATGGACCACCTGGGTCTTTTCGGGTTCGAAGTTTGCCAAACCATTTCTGGTGGGCCCTTGGAATTGATGGGGGACCTGGGACAAAACTTTGGAGAAACGATGAGGACCTTGGCAACCGCCAAGCATCTCGGCAGCGAGGTGCCGATGCTGGGAATGATGAGAAACCATGGATTTTTTCCGGGGTATCATGGGGTATCCACCATTATCCACCTGTCAAACCCAATTCTTCCATATTGTTACGCGTGCTAGTTTGCAATAATTTGCATCTACAACCGGCACTTCCTGCAGGTTTTCGGCCGGTCGAATAGGTTGTGGATGTGGGTTACTTGTTATATTTGGCATCAAAATGGGACCGATTTTTAGCCCCGAAAAAAAATCTTTAGCCCTGAAAAGGATTTTTTTAGCCACGTAAATAGTTTTAGCCACGAAAGATCAGCATTTTAGCCTCGAAAAAAAAGAAAAAAGAAACAATGAAAAATATAACAAAGGAAAACATTCAAAAACACACGAAAAAGTAAACACATTTAAAAAGGGAAAGAAAAAAAACACATCTTGGTACAATATGATCAATATGATGGTTTCTCGGTACGGTTTGATGTTTTTTGTCTACAATTTGATGATTTCTTGGTACAATTTGATGATTTCCCGGTAGCATTTGATGATTTCTCGGTAAAATTTGATGATTTCTCGGTACACTATGATGATTTCTCGGTACAATTTGATGATTTCTCGGTACAATTTGATGAGAATTTGATGATTTCTCGGTACGGTTTGATGATTTCTCGGTACAATTTGATGATTTCTCGGTACAATTTGATGAGAATTTGATGATTTCTCGGTACGGTTTGATGATTTCTCGGTACAATTTGATGAGAATTTGATGATTTCTCGGTACGGTTTGATGATTTCTCGGTACAATTTGATGAGAATTTGATGATTTCTCGGTGCAATTTAATGGTTTCCCGGTACAATTTGATGATTTCTCGGTACAATTTGATGATTTTCCGGTACGGTTTGCTGATTTCCCGGTACGGTTGGATGATTTCTTTGTGGAATTTGATGATTTCTCGGTACAATTCGATGATTTCCCGGTACAATTTGATGATTTCCCGGTACAATTTGATGATTTCTCGGTACAATTTGATGATTTCTCGGTACAATTTGATGAGAATTTGATGATTTCTCGCGGTACAATTTGATGATTTCTCGGTGGAATTTGATGATTTCTCGGTACAATTTGATGATTTCTCGGTAATCCTTTTGTATCGAGAAATCATCCTTTTGTTACCGAGAATTCATCCTTTTGTACCGAGAGTACCGAGAAATCATCCTTTGGTCCCGAGAAGTCATCTTAATTGTACCAAAAAATCATCGTTTTCTACGGAGAAATACCGAGAAATCATCCTTTGGTACCGAGAAATCATCCTTTTGTACCGAGAAAGCACCCTTTGCCGAGAAATATCGAGAAATCATCCTTTTGTACCGAGAAATCATCGTTTTGTACCGAGAAATCATCGTTTTGTACCGAGAAATCATCCTTTCGTACATGGTACCGAGAACTCATCCTTTTGTACCGAGAAATCATCCTTTCGTATACCGAGAAATCATCCTTTGATACCGAGAAATCATCCTTTTGTATACTGAGAATTCATCCTTTTGTACCGAGAAATCATCCTTTTTTACCAAGAAAGCATCCTTTTTTATCGAGAATTCATCCTTTTGTACCGAGAGATCATCGTTTTCTGCCGAGAATTCATCCTTTGGTACCGAGAAATCATCCTTTCGTACCGAGAAATTCTTTGGTCCCCCCGAGAAATCAGCTTTTTGTATACCAACAAATCATCGTTGTGTACCGAGCAATCATCGTTTCGTACCGAGAAATCATCCTTTTGTACCGAAAAATTATCGTTCTGTACCGAGAACTAACTCATCCTTTTGCACCGAAAAAAAGAGGAAAAAAAGAAAGGAAAAACGAGAGGAAAAAAAAAGGACAAAAAGAGGAAAAAAAAGAGGAAACAAAAACAGGAGAAACAGAGAAAAAAAGGGAAAAAAGAGAGGAACAAAAAAGAGGAAAAAACAGAGGAAAAAAGGAGAAAAAAAAAAACAAACGAAAAAAAAAAGAAAAAACAACACAGAGGAAAACAAGATAGCAAAAAAAGGGAAAAAAAAAGGAAAAAAGAGAAACAAAAAGGAAAAAAAAAAGGAAAAAAAACGGAAAAAAAAAGAAAAAAAAGGAAAAAATATAGGAAACAACAAAAAATAAAGGAAAAAAGAGAGGAAAAAAACGGGGGAAAAAAAAATAAAGAAAAAACATGGAAAAAAAGAAAGGGAAAACGAGAGGAAAAAAGAGAGGAAAAAAGGATGAAAAAAGAGGAACAAAAGGGAAAAAACAACAAAAAAAGGAAAAAAAAGAAAACGCGAAAGGAACAAAATAATTATAGGAAAATAAGAAAGGACAAAAAGAGGGAAAAAAAAGGGAAAAAAAAACAGAAAGAGGAAAAAAATAAAGGAAAAACAGGGGAAAAAAAATAAAAAAGGAAAAAAAAAACAGAAAAAAAGGGGGAAAAAAAGGAAAAAAAAAGAGGGAAAGAGAGAGGAAAAAGAGAGAAACAAAAAAAACAGGAACAAAAAAGAGGAAAAAAAAAAGGGAATAAAAAAAGGAAAAAAAAGGGAAAACAAAATTACGTGGGTAACGCTCGTACGCAGCTAGTTTTTTTTTTTTCGTGGCTAAAAAAAAGTAATTACGTGGCTAACGCTCGTACGCAGCTAGTTTTTTTTTCGTGGCTAAAAAAAGGGAAATACGTGGCTAGAGGATCCTGGAAAAATTACGTGGCTAAGAAAGGCAGCCGTATCAAAATATTTGACCAGTACCTAACAGCTAACATCTGATTTTTGGGAAAGGGATGAAGGTCATTTCCGATGGCTAGACCTTTTTCCTGGCTTGGCACCCTGTTGAAAAGGGCCGGCAGTAGCTCTTGCAACTTTTAATCTACAGGGTTTTCCCATGAATAGCAGAGTAACAATTTCTCGTTGGATCGGGGATTTGGGTTTGGGGTACATAAATTCGAGAAAGCAAACCGGAACAGGCGGTGCAGCTTGCAGTGTTCAAACTCCTCGGGGAACACGTGCTGGAGAGAATGCCTTTTGGCTCCGAGGAAAGGGGTGGATGATTCAAGTGGCCATGCATAATGGGGCAACGTTTCATATAAATAGAACTATAGTTGAATTGATGCAGCAATATAAAATGGGGGAACGTTACATAAAATGGGATAAAAACACAATCTAGATTTAGAGGCCTACTTAAAATTAAACAGCGTTGAATGAGAAAAATCCAAGCATCACTGAGGTTTGATTCTGCACCAGCAGAACTGGCAGATTCCCTCCTGGCCATTGCAGTCTTTTGCTGTTGCTGGACCGGAACAGTTGCGCAGTGCCATGAAAACCCTCTGTTGAAGGTTGATGGCTACAACCGAGGATACTCCATTGTTTAGAGGAGCCATTCTAATCCATTCTGGGCATCTCCACAAACCCAGCAGGGGGAGGGGGATGAGACTTGGGCACTGCAAAAAAAAGATCCTGTGAAGACTGAATGCGTGTACAGCAAGATTGGTATAGACGAATATTGAGCATGTATATCATGAATGGAAGTACGATATATAAAATTATATATATTACCGTACCAGTAGTACCCGCACGGGGCGGAAGTTGCCTTATGGGCTATACGAACTAAGACCTTTTTCGTCAGAATTTGCAGGCGCCCTGCGCCAGCGAGGCGGGTGCGTGCGTGCTTTGTGCGAATCTTTGTGCGAATCCAAGAACATGACCTGCGCATCGCCAAGCGACACTTTGTGCTCCCAACTGCACACTCCACACTTCATCTCATCTCATCTCATCTCATCTAACATGTCATCTCAGTTTTCTTCACTCTTTGCATCTCATCCGAACACTCTCATCTCATCGAAGCTCTTCGTGACTCGTCTCAGCTCTTCTGTGCGTCATAAGGCTCTTACTGCTGGAGAGAAGCTTTTATTCTACTTGCACTGTCACGTACATTCTCACTCATGGGACTCGTAATCTTTCATTCATATACTCATACCTTACACACTACCTATCCAATATCATAAACACTACATTACATTGATTGAAACAAGTCAGTATAGCGAATAGCACCATAGAACTAAGAGCAACGGCAGCAGAAATTGTAGCTCCAAAACCGGATCTCGGTGCCAAGGCGAAAAACAGATTTTGAAGCACTTTTTGGAAGGAATTCAAAAAGAAAAATCACAAGCGCCAAAATTGAGAAAATCTTCTGACAAATCAGTATCGCAACCTGGATGCAGCCACTCCAATACGATTTACGATGCCCAATGCCCAGCTGCAAAAGACAATAGTATGACGCGCACAGCCGCAGCAGCGAGGAACCTTGATGCATCCATTGCAATGCGATCTGCACCGCACGATGGCAAACCCGCATGTATCTACGCACATGGCAGCAGTGGTGGCAACATGCATGCAGCCATTGCATTGCAATCTGCCACCGCAGATTGCAAAAGACCCTGCAACTGCGCACACATCAAACACCGCACGTTGCAAAAACACCCTGTAGGAACCAATCACTTCAAAACGAGTGTAGCCGCACCCGCTGCACACACGAGCTCCCCTTTATTGCCGGCTGCAGCCACTTTACGCGGAAAAACACAATGTTTCGCGCTCCGGCATCCTCCCCAACACAAGCCCCATGCGACATTCATGCAGCCATTACAATGCCAATTGAAACTGCACGTGGAGTGGTGCCTGAATCACCACTTCCCTAAGTCATCCCTTCCCTGCAATGGTGATTGATTGATCCCGGTTTGCCCAGGTACCCTAAGTCACCACTTCCCAAAGTCACCGCTTCCCTAAGTCACCACTTCCCTGAGTCACCACTTCCCAAAATCAATTGCATTGTTGCGCACGTATTGTTATTGCTATTCCAGTCGTCCGTAACTCGGAAGTTTTGCTTCCCAACTGCTTTTGAAACATATGATATCATGACATGCAACCGGACCACCCAGGAGATACCGGGGTTAATGACAAAGGTACAACTGCTGTCCATGCTTCTCAAGATTCATGATGTCCCAAACAGAATTTGAGAAGGAAAAACACATAAAGAACAAGATGAACAAGTTACCATAGTGTACCCCAAGCTTGCCATATCTTGCCGTAATTTCACATTTCCTTGCCTTTTCCAGGCATTTCACCACATTTTGAGATTCCGGGTTTCACGTGGTCTCGGGTCTCGCACCGAGGTAGCCGCCACCATCGCTTGCCAGATCCCGCTTTGGAAGCGTTCCTTGGTTTTGTCATTAGTTGGCGGTTTCAAACGTGAAACCCCCAGCATTTTTTTGCTGCTTATATTCCCTTAATCACCATTTTGATGAGTTTATAAAGTTTATGGCCACACTTGGAATGATGATCCCAGGGTTTTTTGCCCACGATTAAGGCCATGGCACCCTGCCGTCTTCGTGGCTGCAGCAGGATGTTTGCAAAGACAGGCCGGGCTGATCGGCATTGGGGATGGGATTGGTGGCGATGCTTCAAGCACTCTGATGCCATCTGATGCCCATGTTGATGTCCATTTTTTATCTATCAAAACCATGGGCCATGGGGTGTCAGGTGCATTCTCTAATGTTTTATCTTCAATCATATATACAGTAATATATCTAGATCTATATAATATATCTAACTATCATAGATCCGGAAAATACTGGTATACAGTTAATGGCGTCAACGAATCAATAAGTATGTCGGGTCAATCGAGAAATTGGGGTTGGTGTGGTCCAGGTCCAACTCCTGAATGGTACTATAACTTCCATGAAGATGTGACCGGAATGGACATCAAACAATAGGGATACTGATGATTCACCAGTGGATGGAATGGTGTACCCTGTTTTCAGACAACACCGTACAAGTTTCAGATTTGTTCTGATTTGAATGAAGTTGATGGCACGAGACATGTCACTCATTGTCACCTTACAAATTGTAGTGGGGCAAACATTGGGATCTATATGGATCATAATGGATCTATGGACCAACAGTTTCGATCATTCACAGGTGTTTACATGCCTTTAATATATCCTTATGTATGGTACGAAGATGTACGAAGTATTACGAGTTATGTTTTGAAACTACACGGCTGCAAAACGAGTTGTGAAGTCACCGGACCTCGCACTCAGGTTCACGAGTTGCCAGCGGAGGTCTTGTTGAAGTGCCTCAGGTGCCGATCAAACACCTGGAGGGGCTTAATATGGTAGATGTTTTGGTAGCCCTTTGTGTATATGTGATGCAATATTCATGTACTTTATTATCTTTGTTTGATTATATTTATATTGAAAGAGTGGGTCAAGGTGATCAAAGGCATACAGATTCTGTCTATGATATACCGGACAATCTTGACATCCATGAATATTGTTTTGGTATGTTTTGGTAACAATTGAACCTATCTCGTTGAAGACTTTTTGCACCCAATAGACTCATTGGCAATCAGACATGAAGTGGAAAAGAAACCTCCTTGTACTTGTAATGTGTGGCCTGCACAACATGTTTGGACGCAAGTCATCCTCAATCTGATGGTCTAATTTGAGTGACTGGGGTTGGCAAGTCAGGAACAGACCGGATTTTGGTGCAGTAGGTCTTCCCTAATGCCTAGTTGCCATGGTTTGAGGCCGCATGCATGAAAAATCATAAATTCCGTGCGCTGACTTTGGTTCAGAAGCATTACTTGCACAAGTAGAAGAGTCGAAGCGACATCGACTGTTTTCACTGCTGCCATGGCTTCTCAGCTGAATTTGATAATTTGGAGGTGGCGGGGAATTTTCACAATATGCCTCGAACAGCCCTTCCAGTAGGTCAAGCGTCAACAGCAAGTAGTCTCAATATCCCAATAGCTTGTATTAGTTTGTCCCAATATAGGATACTCATCACCATCTCCTCTTAGAATATAATGGATTAGAATGTATTATGTAGAATGAATATAATATATATATATGTATGCATATCATATGTAATACATAATATTTGAATGGCCGTTTTCGTATATCCCCTTTCTGGACAAACCCATATGCTATTCTTTTTCATGATGTTCACAAGGGTGCCTCGGTCTTGACCCGTACCCGCACTGCTTGGCTTCCCAGTTCCAGTGAACCACATTCCTGGCTCCCCTTGCAAGCCACGATAGCTGGCAGAGGGAAATGCTGGGACAATTATCAGGCACGTATATAGATGGAGTAGATCATTTGATCATTTGTCATTCCCTTGTTTAACACAGACCTTTCATCACGTTAGACTACTGGAGATGTAGGGTAATGAAATTTGTTATTTGCTCCTGTGATGTGTTCATTCCTGAGAGAAATTTGAGCGTGCACAAGCAGTGCCCAAGACTGCTGACCAACCGATTTCCTATCCGCTCCATGTAGCAAGATGGTATGGTCAGCAGCTGAAAACCAGACGGCCAAGGCTCCTTGGTGTTCCAACAGCCGAGGCTGCACCCCAGCAACAGCCGCATTACTTCTTCATTCAGAACCCAGATGGAAGCCGCACCCAACACTTCGGAATCCCTCCCGCAGAGTATCAGCAGGCGAAGGGTGGTGAAGATCGGAATCATGGACTGTTGGTGGTTGAGATCCTTTCCTTTATTTGAATTGTTCACACACTAGACAAGAATGGATCATTATATGATCCGGCAGGAACTGAATCCTGAAACATGCAAATCTGATCCTGAATAGTTTCCACGTCCACGATCTTCAGCAAAATATTCCAAATACATCGGCGACATAGTCGGCGAAATAATCCAAATAATCGAAAATACAATCGGCAAAATAATCCAAATAATCGAAAATACAATCGGCGACATGATCTCGGCGAAAATACTGAGGAAGGTTCTGAAGCATCAAAAACAGATTGTGGCAACCGTGAAGAAATAAAACTATAGTGTTTGGGGTTCTGAGCTTGGCCCCTTGCTATGTCAGAAAATGCAGGTACGTCATCCTGGCGTCCCAGAATGATTTCACACTTCTCAACAGGCGTCTTCGTTGGCCTGAGTCCTGTTGAGAAGCCTCAGGCCCCCTGCATTAGGTTTAAAAAGGGAGAGGACAGAAGGAAGAAAAAGAGAGAAGTTTTACATCTATTCAGATGTTACACACACACACCCGGCCAGAGCCGGGTCAACCCTGAAAGGCAAGAGGAAGAAAAAAGCGGACACACGAAGGGCAAAAGGCCAAAAACAGCGCAGGGGGGGGAGGGGAACAGACGGACCTCCGGAACCAACCTACACGGCGAAACGGACCTGACCAAAACAGCGCACACACCTAAACCCCACGACACATTACGGAGAGGCACGCGGGGAAATTAGGGACCAAATGGGGGACTAGTTGATGACAGACAGGAAAACCAAAACAATTAATTAAAAACAGGATTCAGTTCCTAAACCTAAAGGTCGTGCGTTGTGCCAATCCAGGCCCGTGTTCAAGTCAGCCACAAGGGCATATAACGGCTTTCAAGTTCCAGCGAATTAGGTGCACGATATGTTTCACCTCACCAGATAACCATCAAAAGAAAGAGGACCACACCTGGAAGTCGTGTGCCTGCCTGGTTCCTTTGTCATGGCATGATGCTGTGTCGCTGTGACATTGCTGCAAAAAAGGAGGTTTCTGAATGTTCGGCACGGCTTCACAGTCACAGAGGTGTATTCCACGAGGTTTCACAAGGGACCGCAGGATCAGCGGGACACTCAGAAAGCGGTGCAAAACGGAAAGGCCAGCTGTTGCACTTTACTTAAACGAATTACCAACTTAAAATGTGTTAATTCGGCAGTCAGGACAGTCATCACTCACCCTAAAGAGGGTTGCCTCAAATGGCTCCATGGCACCATGTCGGAGCCACCATGGAAATCACACTAGACAAGAATGGATCATTATATGATCCGGCAGGAACTGAATCCTGAAACATGCAAATCTGATCCTGAATAGTTTCCACGTCCACGATCTTCAGCAAAATATTCCAAATACATCGGCGACATAGTCGGCGAAATAATCCAAATAATCGAAAATACAATCGGCGAAATAATCCAAATAATCGAAAATACAATCGGCGACATGATCTCGGCGAAAATACTGAGGAAGGTTCTGATGCATCAAAAACAGATTGTGGCAACCGTGAAGAAATAAAACTATAGTGTTTGGGGTTCTGAGCTTGGCCCCTTGCTATGTCAGAAAATGCAGGTACGTCATCCTGGCGTCCCAGAATGATTTCACACTTCTCAACAGGCGTCTTCGTTGGCCTGAGTCCTGTTGAGAAGCCTCAGGCCCCCTGCATTAGGTTTAAAAAGGGAGAGGACAGAAGGAAGAAAAAGAGAGAAGTTTTACATCTATTCAGATGTTACACACACACATATATAATGATATATATATATAATGATATATATATAATGATATGTATATATATAATGATATATATATAATTTATATAATGATATATATATATAATGATATATGTATATATATAAAATGATATATAATTTATATAATGATATATATATATATATCATGATATATATATATATCATGATATATATATAATGATATATATGTATATATATGTATAATGATATATATATATAATGATATATATATATAATGATATATATATAATGATATATATATAATGATATATATATAATGATATATATATATAATGATATATATAATGATATATATAATGATTTATATTGATATAATGATATATATAATGATATATATAATGATATATATAATGATATATATAATGATATATATAATGATATATATAATGATATATATAATGATATATATATATGATATATATAATGATATATATAATGATATTTATAATGATATATACAATGATTTATATAATTATATATATAATGATATATATAATGATATATATAATGATATATATAACGATATATAATGATATATAATGATATATAATGATATATAATGATATACAATGATATATATATGTGTACACACATATATATATATATAATGTAATATACATATAATGATATATATATATACATATCATGATATAATGTATATACATTATGATATACATATATATATGCATATATATATATATATCATTATCATTATATATATGTGTGTATATATATATATCATTATATATCATTATATATCATTATATATCATTATATATCATTATATATCATTATATATCATTATATATCATTATATATCATTATATATCATTATATATCATTATATATCATTATATATCATTATATATATACATATGTATACATATTATGATATATAATATATATGTATCTGTGACTGAAAAGTGCACGTGGAGTATCCAAATATGCTGGTACGTGTATCCCTGGATTGACGGATTTCACGTTATTCTACCGCTCCAAGACTATCGTGGAACAAAGTTGTAACGACCGAGGCAACTATCAATACCATGGATTGGCAGCGCATCTTCTTAATTACATATTGCTTTTTCATGCCTTTTAATGCATGATATGGTAATAAGATGTAATAAAGCTATCTATCTCTCACTCAAGTGCCCGGATGCTGGGATAAGTCTATGATAACGTGCAGCTTTATGTCAATCATTTGATTACCAGACATGAACATGGCTTTCTATTGAAGTGGAGAGCAGTACCCAAGCATCATCAAGAAACATCAAGCAACTCATGGCAGTATCCATGCATCTTTACATCTTGATATGGGTGTGTCTGAAAATGGGGGATACCTCAAAATGGTTCTTTTTATAGGGACAATGATTAACCATTGGAAGTAGGTGTCCCCTATTTCAGACAAACCCAAGCATCATCCAAGTCATCATGCAGGGATTTTTCACATGGCAAGCTGGGAAGTCCCATAAAAAATGAAGGTTTATAGCCGGGAAATGGAGGTTTGTAGCTGGGAAAGTTATCCAATACCATGGTAAACTTTTTTGATGACCAAACAGCTACCATGATTTTCCAGCTATAAATCATGGTGTTTAGCAAAATTCCTCCATATCATCTGGTAAATGATGAATTTTCCATTGCTCAAAAACCACCATGATTTTCGGTTCGCGACATCGACATCAACGAGTTCCGGAGGTCTCTAGTGCCCCGATGAACATGGCAGCCCCACCTGCTGGCTATGGGCCGGGGCGCCTGGAAAATCACCACGCTTAGTCTGTTGGTGTCGAGAATGCTTAAAAACTAGGGACCCTAGGGATTTTAGTCTATTTGAAGACCTGGAAAATGCATGCTTGATGTAAGAGGAGATGGAGATTCGGCTTGACTCCATCCGGATTTTAATTTGGAGTTGTGGGCTTGTCCCTAGAGTGGAGCGCAGGATGGTGAATTCCTATGAATTCCTCCCATCAAGTGTTATTGTAGCATCTTGTATTCATTCTTGTCCATTCTGGCTATCCCACCAGTGTCTTGCCAGCCAAAGAAGGAATCTCCAAGCAACCCCAAGGAGCATGAATATCAAGCCCTACAAAAATTGGTCAACCTGGTTGTACACCTGTTTGAGGCGGTGTTCGCCAAACAAGTATCTTTTTGCTGACATCATTTTTGTAGGTTCACGCGTGGAACAGGGTTGTGACTCATGCAGTGACTGTAGTACAGGTTTACCCAACAAAGACCAATCTTTTGCTATGCGAGCTCACACATGTCGCTTGCTTGAAGTGATCACACATCTATGGTTACAAAATGTTACAAACTGTGTCAATGCTAGTTATGCAGAATAGCCAAATAGCTGTTTTGCCATCTTCACTGAGAGCCTGAAACCGTACCTTGGTTTTCACACCACAAGTTTGCTGATATTCATGGATGTTCATTCCTCAAAATATGGCAACATATACTTTTGACCCATCCACTTTTCCCGAGTTGGGACCCAAAGATCCTCTGCACACAGGATGCCTGCGGCTTATGGAGGCGTGTTTTTTTTTTTTTTTCGGATAGGGTCTTGTGGGTGCAAAGATGTTGGCACATGATTGTATATGAACTTATCATTTGTGTAAACAAAATACATAGATAAATAAGAAAATAAGCAAATAAGTCAGAATAAAATAACATATCAAATAAATAAATATGTAGATAGATTAAAAACATATACATATATCAAGTATATAAGTATATATCTTGCTACACATACCCCCCTGCAGAAGGGAAATCTCTTGCTGGGATGCCTTAAAAAATTCTTCCGAGGCGCTCCGGTGAGCTTTGGGGCCTACGGAGGCTTGCCACAGGCTCAATCTATGGTGACCACGCCGATGCCTCAGCCCTGGGGCTAGATGCTGGATAGTCACCTATTTAAGTGGTTCACTGAAGCTTGGAGAATTCCAGAAAATGACCAGAAAATGATACTTTATCCCTTTCCGTAATGAATCAAATATCAATATTTTCAGGAAATTCACATAGATTCACCATAGATTCACCATTGAATCTAATGATTTTGAGGTCACTTATTGCTTGTTTGATATTGGGTGGATGGGATGAACATGGCAAACCCAAAGAAATAACGGCAATCCCCAATCATTTCCCACATAACTCTGCCTCCTGCAGCATATACTTGAACTGATTTATAGATACTTATAGTATTTTATAGTATATAATGGATCATGTACTGTATAATGTCATACATGAAAATGTAATGTAATGTAATGTAATGTAATGTAATGCAACGCAGTGTGATGTGATGTGATGTGATGTGATGTGATGTGATGTGATGTGATGTGATGTGATGTAATTAATGTATGTATAAATTATATATATAGACATAGCTTGAGTACTCTTCGAACGGGAAACCATGGTTCCATGTCAAGATAGTGCGACTTGAACATGAATTAGGAGGAAAAGGGCGAAAGAATCTGCAGCTGGTGGTGCGCGCGAGTGCATCCAGGTACTTCATGTGAAGCAAAGTTGCCAGTTGCCCCCAAATCCAGTGATCGATTAATTCAACCTATTTACCACAGCTAATCAACCTATGTTGAGAACACTCTGAAATCGCAGGCCACTCTGGCTGAAACTTGCTTTTGCTTCCGGTCAAACAGCACCGGATCCGGACCTCGCAGCGGTGTGAACAGCTCCGCGCGATGGAGAGCATGGATGAAAAAGAGGCTTGGGCTGTGGTCCCAGGTGCAGAACAGCTGGCGCTACACGTGCCACTCAGCAGCCCTGGTGAAGATGGTGAAATGGTACAAGTCCCACCCCCTGGTTTGGTGAATTTATCACATATTACAATATATACACATAAACGTGACCCATATGTACAAGATTGTACAAGCTGTAAATATGAAAACACATCCCTTTCCGAAGTTCACTTGCAGGTTGCATTTTTTTGCCAACTCTTTATTAGGCAGGATTGGAACCTTCCCGGTGATCCGGGGTACTGTAGACATCCAAAATTCACCACGTCTTTTAGGACCTGAATTATTGACCATATTGGCAGAATATGAAAACACAACTTCCCATGGAGTTTCAAGTAAGCATAGTGATATTTCTCCAGCTCGGTTGATCCATGGGGTTTGCAGTCTGCTAAAACATCCATGGCCCATTTGTGGGTCCGGACCCGAAACGCGGCTGAAATCTAAAGCCGGAAAAAAGAGGCATCAAATCACGCCAAGTCTCCAAAGTTCAACACACATTCCAACACCTAAAGGACCTAAATAGTGTTTAACCAGGCAGAAACAGTATGACACCGGAGAAAACTCAGTCCATCAGCACTCAGCAACTTTCCCACCCCAAAAATGCCACCATTCCAAGATATTCCAAGCACCAATGGCCACCAGAGGTGTACCTTCATCGCTACCACTGGCCTAGTTGGAGTGGCCACCTGGTTCATTTGCAGTCGCATGACCTCGTCCACAGGTGACCAGGGCCATCTTTAGGAAATTTTCGCGGATATTTTGGGGTAAAAACCAAAGTACAGTGGGTAAAAACCAATGGTAAAAAAGTATCGTTTCCTATAGGTTACAGATTTGTGAATGTTTGATCCTTACAGTAAAGCATATAGTAAAACCAAATATTTGCGACCCAGCCAATATAAACCATCCATGCCAACTGCCATCCGCAAGGATCAGCTGTCCTAGCCATCCGTGTGAAGCAGCACCATTGATTGTCCACTTCGAACTTAGTTTGCCATTCCCATCATTGTTGGTCAATATCCTCACTTCTTACTGTAATGGTTCTTGTCCATTGTCCCTACGCGTGTAAACTTTCGTTGCTTGGGACTCTGATTTCTGGTCGCATGCCCATTTTGATCAATTTTTGATCCATATTTTCATATATTTTCTTGATTTGTGTCACTTTGTGTTTGCTAATGCCCCAGTTTATCCCAGAGATGGGACGGATCAGCTATTTCTTCGGAGGCGGTGCGGCGGACGACTTCTTTGCCGGTGGCCGGTCCTTGCGGTGGTACGTGGTGGCTGGCTCGCTGATGTCACCGGGACGAGCGAACTAGTTTCCATGGATTTTCCCAGACTCAACTGACGGTTTTTTGGGTCAGTTTGAGTCATGATATGCTGTTGTTAAGAACTGTTAAGATAACAAATATGTGATGTTTGATTTGTGCGTTGAATACAATTCTTGCTGTCATGATCATCAGACTTGGTAATAGTCAAGCGCATTGGAACGATGATTCCACAAGCAGGATGGAACCGCTGTTTGCAGGCAGAACATCATTTTTGCTTCAGAGCAGATGTGTTGGTGGGTTGACACCAGCGACAAGAGCAAACTGTGATAAACAATGGGAATGGGCTTGGTGCGTTGTGCATCAATTGGGTAAAAACAAAGATATATATATATACATATATATACATATACATGCATATATATATAATACATATATATATATATTATATTATACATTATATACATGCCGTTGGTTCCTCGATTCAGGTTGACCAATCTCTCGACTGAACAGCTCGTCGGACTTAATGGCTCTGTGACCTGGCCGGATCTGGTAGCCGTAGCTGATGGAATGATGAGGATATTATAATATATTATTACAATATTATACGGTGATACAACCAAAGATAGTAAAGGTTAAAGTACAGGTGAATAGAAATGCATAGGAATGCTTTTATGTACACATAGTATATCATGAATCATTCATGAATCAACCCAAAGACCCTGTTAGTTGATGCGTGTATAAGCCTATTTGAGCTTGTGTTGGCTAGGTATCAGGCTTTGAGACTCACCAATATTGTTGGTACAGGATGGTACAGGTATCAGGCTTCATTTGAACTCTGAACAAATCCCTATGGCTCCATTATGCTCCATTATACTATGAATTTCAGTATTATCCCGACCTGGGCATGTTCCCTGATGGTCACCATTTTGCTGAGGTTTATAAGGATCAAAATCTCGCGGGCATCTGGCTGGAAGCGGGAGCTGCAATCGCAATGATCATCACAGCCACCGTGTTTTTGCCGCGCTACATGTCCTTGGGTGCCTTGGTGAAGTGGGCATGGGCGGCATGGAGCAGCACGTGAAAAGCCGGAGCTTCTGTAGCGATTTGATATATGATTTGCATGTTTTGAGATTGGCCGACCCTATACACCAATATGAAACAATATGAAACAATATGAACTAACCAACATTAACTAACATGTCTTTATTTACTTTGCTGGAATGTATTTTCGACCGGTGCTTGTTCGATCGCAATGTGTTGAAACAGGCTGACATTTCCCACAGATGAAACACAGCATTTTCTAGAACCCACATAGAAATGACAGTTCGAACACAACTAAACTGAGACCGTTCTGATGGTGCTGCCTCAAGGATAAAGGAAGGACTTTGAAAGCCTGTTTCAGATATAACTCCAAGGGTTGTCACGCTGACAACTTCCAAGAACTTGCGTGTTTGTTGTAAAAAGGCAATCCGCTCCACACCCTATCCGCCCCATCCATGATACTCTGATAGTGCACAGTGGGATGTGTAGTGAAATCCACAGGCCGCTTTGGGGCAGTGACTTATCGTATCCACGATGTGACACTAAAAATATCATACATTATTTGTTACATTATCATACAATTGAAAACACGAAGTTGTCGAAGTTCTGTCGAAGGTGTTTTTTCTCAACGACCCACGGCTTCCCTTCGCACCGCCAGTGTCAAGGTTTGACCACCACTTCTGGTTTCTTAGGCTGGGCTTGGGGGCAAACCTACTCAGACTCGGGTGTGGACAGATACTGTAGAATAAAAACTCAGAGGAATGACCAGCTTGTCATGGTTTCTAGCAAGATTCTTTGGTGCTTTATCAAAAAAATATAGCATCATCATGGTTCCGACAATTCTGCTTTAAACGTCATTGATCGTATCTATATTTTATTTCATATTATTCATATTCCGTTTCCCTTATATTCCATGGTTTCTTTATTTGAAGATTTTGAAGGCCCTTTTCTCTTTGAATACTGTGCAGTACCCTTCATTTTATGGACCCACGTGGGATGGATCACCGCAACCCACTGCCGCCACCAAGCACAGTTTATTGAGACACGAGATGGGACGGATGGGAAGACGCAAAAACGGAGGATCAAATGATGTCAAATGCCTTAAATCCCCTCCGTGGTATCCTGGCGATTTCAGGTGAGCGATTTGATCTTTTTACCCGAACCATGGGATCTGTTCTTTTCCTGCTCTACTATGTCTTTGTGCTTTGCCCTATTGCACTGTAGCCGGTCTGCAAAGATGGTTCAGATGAATATGTACCCGCAAAACATCGAAAACTGTGGATGTTTCTATGGTTGCAATTGCAAAGACATGTTTTTCCACGCACACTAGCTAAGAGTACATAAGTCACTCGACCAGGACCGAGTTGGTTTGTTTGGAAGTTACTGGACGCTTTTTTTTGCGGGTGTGTTTGATACTCAAAGATATTCTGTTCTGTCTGCCAAGTCACTATGAAATCTATGAGCCCGGGAGACAGCTGTACACAGAAGCCTCACAAAGCTTGCTGTGGCCCACAGCCTTTGACATTGATGTCATGTGGAAATCATGGAAATCATGTGGAGTGGTCAATCCGATCTTCAGGTTTCCCAACTCAGTACTCACATGGTATCAGATGTCATGAAAAGGGATACTCATCCACCCCCCAGCTGCAAATAACAAAGTCCATGGGAGCATGTTGCCCAAGAAACAATCAGGTACACGGGGGCTTTGGCCATTCGACCCTTGGCACTGGATCATCTACAGCTATATTTTGTGTGCCGGATGGTAATCAGCTGCAATGGTGTCCAAGACTTTTGTCATGTGCTTCTCAAAGTTGTCCCATATACATTCGGCGCAAGCAAAACTGTGTCTTGCATAAGCTTGTGGAAGGCAATGTACTGTACGGGTCCCATGAGCCTCCTGTTCCGTGTGAGTAAAAATAGTGATCGCATAAGTATGGCCCAAGAGCGCATTATTAAGAGAAGTTGTGCAACATAGGCTGCACATCGTACCTCTTAGATGAATCTCAACCGTAAACACCGACCAGCCATTTGTAATATGTCATGTTCTCCTTCACCCCATCTCCTATCTGAAACTGTATCCTCCAAAATTATCCAAAATTGCAGTTTTAACATGTTTTAACAGCACACCTCATGAAGGATTGGAATAGGATTGGATTCAGGGGTACCCGGGGTCGCCTTTTCTCAGAGCTCTCAGACACAGCCGCCCAGATATTTCAAGGGGTTCAGCTCAGCCAGGAAATATCTTTGACCTCCAATCGCTGCCCCTTTGGAGCATCAGCGCAATCATTGGCACATTTGGAGCCTGTTATGCCCTCTTTGGTGGATTGAAGGTGTGGTGGGTGTGGGTGATGCCGAAGACCACAACAGGTTTTGGACCTACAGATCTTGAGCATGCTGATAAGCAAGTTCAGCAAATTATCCAAGTTTCAAGATGCCTTGCAAGGATTAGGGGACGAGGGTAAACTCGCGCAAATATCCATTATTTTGTCAAGTTTGTTGCTGGTTTTTAGGTTTGCTCCAAAGGGATGCTTTGAACTCCAGGCCGCTTGGTGCAAAATACTCGAAACAGCAGGTCTCAAAAGTTGTGATCCTTCCAAAGGGAGAAGATTGCAAGATATTGCAAGTTTTCAAAGGGCGGCCTGTGCATTATTTTTGTCGATTTAGGTTTACAGTACTTACGCTTAAGAGACGTTTGACGTCCAGAAGAGTCAAATATAAGCTGTAAATGTGATTCATTGCCAGGCCCGACAGTTCAACATTTGTTGCTTCACATTTATATTATAGTTGCCTGTTTTAGCTGCTTGGATCTTTAAACCCATCGTGATACCAGCATGCTTCATGTGTTTCTGTTACCATCAAGGGTCAGGTGTCAATGAACGAACTTGCAAAAATCCTCAAATATTGTTAGACAACACTCCAGTTACAACCCCAAATACCCAGTTAAGAAACTCCACGGATAAAACTCCTGGAGGAGATAATGTCTTCTGAAAACCAACATTGAGTTGGCTCCAGCATGCCCTCTATGTCACGGGAATATAAGACCCCTCGAAAAGTCCCCTCCAAACAAATAGGGCCTTATTGAGTGTATTCTTGCTACCATCAACCCTCAAGAGATACGCAAACATACACAGAATAACCACTATGATCTTGTATATAATTGTATGTATGCATACATAATACGTACAAGTAGTACCCAGGCAAGCCGGGGGCGGAAGTTTCAAAATGGAAACGCCTATAGCCTATAGAGCGGAACAAAGACTGTGCCTATAGGTTGCTGGCAGGCTTGACGTCGCATTCCGGTGCCATCTCTTTTGAAGGTTGGATCTTTTCTCATTTCATCTGGTCTCATTGCATCGCAGCTTCTCTTGGAAATTACGCATTCCATCCCATTGTCGCCGCAGCCTGTGTCATCTCATCTCACCTCACCTCATCTCATCTCACCTCATCTCATCTCATCTCATCTCATGTCTTCTCTCCTTTTCTCAGCTCTTCTCAGCTCTTCACCGCTCTTCTCATGTCCGGTCGTCTCAACTCATCCCGTCTCATCCCGTCTCATCTCATCTCGGCTCTTCTCACAACTTTCTCAGCTCTTCGCAGCTCATGTCAGCTCATCTCATGTCTTCTCATCTCTTCTCTCCTCTTCTCACATCTTCTAAGCTTTTCCCGTCTCTTCTCACATCTTCTCAGCTGATCTCAGCTCTTCTCACCTCATCTCAGCTCTTCTCAGCTCACTCTCAGATCATCTCAGCTCTTATCGGGCCCAAAACCTGCTCCAAAATCGAATCACGGCGCCAAATCCACAAGAAGATTCAAAAAGTACGATTTTGAAGCTTCTTAAAAGCAAATTTAAAAGAAACATGGAAAGCGCCAAAAACGAGAAAAGTCATCAAAAACAAATCGACGCAACTTTGGCGGAACCATTCCAATGCGATTTGCAAGCAGCAAGTTGCAAAAGACCATGGAACATCATGGAACTACATGCGCAACAGCAACATTGAGCAACAGTGACGCAGACACCACAACGCGTTTGCAAGCGGCGAGTTGCAAAAGACCATGGAACTACGTGCGCAACAGAAACGCAGAGCAACATTGATGCAGCCATTCCAATACGAGTTAGCAAGCGGCGAGTTGCAAAAGACCATGGAACTACGTGCGCAACAGAAACGCAGAGCAACATTGATGCAGCCATTCCAATACGAGTTAGCAAGCAGCGAGCTGCAAAAAACCATAGAAGTACATGCGCAAAGGCAACGCAGAGCAACTGTGACGCAGCCACTCCAAAGCAACGTCGGCAAGACAGAAGCTTCTCCTGGCCAAAGCCTGCTCCAGAACTGGATCTCGGCGCCAAAGCCAAAAAAAAGTATGATTTTGAAGCTTTTTAAAACAGCGTTTAAAAGGAAAATTAAAGGCGCCAAAAACGATAAACATCCGCAAATCTCCTTGCACAACAAGCACGCATTTCCTGCGAGCCTTCCCTCAAAATACTGAAAGTTGAAGATATGAAAACGAAACGAAGCTTTCGTGCGAGACGACGTCCCCACAAATGAAAGTTGAAGATGTGAAAACGAAGCTTTCGTGCGAGACGTCCCTCAAAAACTGCAAGCTGAAGATGTGAAAACGAAGCTTTCGTGCTAGATGTCCCTCAAAAAGTGAAAGCTGAAGATATGAAAGCGACGCATTCGTGCGAGACGTCCCTCAAAAAGTGAAAGTTGAGGATGTGAAAACGAAGCTTTGGTGCCAGATGTCCCTGTGAAAGCTAAGCTTTCGCGCGAGGCATCCCTCAAAAAGTCAAAACTTTAAGAAATTAAGATGTGAAAACGAAGCTTTCGTGCAAGACGCCCCTCAAAAAGCGAAGATGTGAAACCGAAGCTTTCATGCAGGACGTCCCTCAAAAACTGAAAGCTGAAGATGTGAAAACCAAGCTTTCGTGCGAGACGTCACTTAAAAAGAGAAAGTTGAAGAATGTGAAAACGAAGCTTTCGTGCGAGACGTCACTTAAAAAGAGAAAGTTGAAGAATGTGAAAACGAAGCTTTCGGGCGAGACTTGCTGTGACACTTCTTGGCTGTGAGGCGTCTTTGCTGTGAGGCTTCTTTGCTGTGAGACTTCTTTGCTGTGAGACTTCTTTGCTGTGAAACTTCTTTGCTGTGAGACTTCTTTGCTGTGAAACTTCTTTGCTGTGACACTTCTTTGCTGTGAAACTTCTTTGCTGTGAGACTTCTTTGCTGTGAGGCTTCTTTGCTGTGAGACTTCTTTGCTGTAAGATTTCTTTGCTGTGAAACTTCTTTGCTGCGGGGCTTCTTTGCTGTGAGACTTCTTTGCTGTGAGACTTCCTTGCTGTGAGGTTTCTTTGCTGTGAAACTTCTTTGCTGCGTGACTTCTTTGCTGTGAGATTTCTTTGCTGTGTGACTTCTTTGCTGTGAGGTTTCTTTGCTGTGAGACTTCGTTGCTGTGAGACTTCTTTGCTGTGAGGTTTCTGTGCGGTGAGACTTGTTTGCTGTGAGACTGTGAGTTTTTTTGCTGTGAAACGCCGTAACTTGGAAGTATAGACTTCTAAAAAACTTCCTTTGATCAGAGGTTTTTTGGGCCATTATATTCGAAGGGTGCAGCTTTAGAGAATGGTCAACCAACAACGCAGGCCGTGGCAGTTTCCGACTGCCTCAATGGCATTGGTTTGCTCATTGTGGGTGGCTTGGGTCATTGTTTATGCGGGCCCTCAGAAAACGCATAGCTTGGAAAATCAATGGGTTTGCGGAAGTCATCAATTTTTAGATCATGTAGATTGGGGATGGTTTGATGTGTGCAATCCTTTTTGCAACGTGATGCTAGCGGATCTAATGATCCTCTTGTGGGGGTTGTGGTAGGCAGGTGGAGTTTTGAGGATTTGGAACAGGCGTTGTAAGGGGGTGTGGGGCAATGCCGTGAATCCAGTGGGATCTTCTGGTGGCAACTTCCCCTGAAAGACGGCGCACGAATGCGGCCCAGGCATCTGGGTGCCAGCAGCTGCGCTTTATCAGCTGGGTGGTGTTTCCGATCTTTTCCATGAACCTGAAGTTTTGAAACCCTTGGTGGAGCACAGTGTCCTTGCACCCTGGCATGTGATCCTTGGTGAGAAGTCAGCCGGCTGAGAGGAGCACAAGGTATCACTGGCAGCGTTCAGTCTGCACTATTTCAATATTATTATTGAGGTCAGATTGAAATTATACCGTTCCAATGTTCAACGAGTCGAACATTTATGTTTTGAAGTGCCCTAACAAAGGTGAAACCAAGCAGGAAACTGAGAAATGGGCGAGTCTGGCCTTTTAAATTAAAGTACTCAGGGATCCTTGCAGACCAACCCCAAATTGGGACTTTCTCACCCAATCTAATGGGTGCACAGTGTACTGATGCTTGACTTTCCTGTGTGCATGTAAAGTATTTGAGATATACCTAGCAGAAGTGCACCCATTTTGTATATATATATAGACAGCTCATATAAATTTAAGCATACACACCATATACATGTATTATACATACACACATGCCAATGTTACAAGCGTTTTCCCTATCAGCAGGGTTAACCCTCCCGAGCCACACCAGTCAGCCCAGGAACTTCAGTGGTTTGTTCCTCACCAATGTCACTTGGCTGTGATGGCTGGATGGTCCCATTCCCCTGTTGGTTGATGATTATGGGGAATTATACTGTATACTACCCAAAATATTGGGGATTATCAAAATCCATGATGGGAATCCCTAGTAACTTGCAAGGTGGTGGGGACCCTTGGGGTTCAAAACTCTTGGTAGCCGAAACTAGTCCAAGTGTCGAGTCACTGGAATTGTGGTCATTGTTTTTCCACGCGTTTTACCTTTGGCAAAAATCCATGAAACATGCAGAGCAGGGGCCAGGGGATTTGGCTCATCTTTGAGACAGGATTGAGGCAAATCCGACATGCACGATGAAGGGGTTGCCGGGCTGCCTGTGGGACCATACAATGTCATCCAGACATGTTTAAAGATGTAGGTGTAGGGTTCACCCCAGATAGAAAGGGGCACAAGCCAAGGCTATAAACCACCCGCCGCTGAGGTTTACTACTGGTCAACCAATCAGGTCATCGTTCAGCGAGCCTTGGCCGCTCGTAGTCTAGCGGATGGTCAGAAGGGCGTTCTCTTCGCGGCATCGATGTGACTGGGACGCAAAGGCCAAGGGGTCACTCGGAAATGGAGGGATTTATGATATTGCACTTACATGTGAAAAATGAAGATTCAAGGGGCATGTACTGGGGTACAATGAGGTTTGTAATTAACCAGGATTATGGGTCCGTCTTAACCAATGTGATAGTTCGAAACTACATTGAAACATGATGATAAACATGCGATTTTGAGATTACAAATTTTGAAAGGGCCGCATGTGCCTTGGAAAATGTGATTGGAACTTGGAACTTCACCGCGACCTCAGTGGAATCAGCCCGTAGTGGACTTGTTACTGTTTATTTCTGGAGTGAAGCATGTATATATATATATAAGATTATAAAAGTGATTTGCCCAGATGTATACGCCATGGCCAAACATTGAAATGGGGGTCAATGAATTTGAACCACATTCGATTGGCTATGGGTCAAAACTCACGACCCCGAAATTGGATAAGATACAACGAACATGATGTTGGCATAGAGATGCATAGAGTGGTATAGACTTTCTGGACACATTTTTTGGGACGAGAATAGAACTGGTGCTCTTGAGTACCCCTGCCGGTGCAGATGTTGTTCTTGACAGGTTGCCATGGCAATGCCACCCTTGGGTGCGGGCCTAGTGGGGTTTTACCCGTTTCTAAGTTTCTACTTGGTTCGCTCTTGAGCGTGTTTGACCCCAACCTAGATCCCCAATTTGGCTGTGTTGAAAATCCTGCCAGCTTAAGACTAAGAGGAGTGATAATGCCAGTTTCACGATGGTTTATGTGTAAAAATGTATGCATACCGCAGCTTTCTTGCTTCCCTCAACCACCCTCCCTTTCTTTGGGGGCAGGTTGGGGGTGACTTGCTATGGGTGTGTGTCTAGTGGGGTTTTACACGTATTCTGGTTGGTTCGCAAGTTGATCCCCAACTTGGCTGCGTTGAAAATCATGCCAACTTGAAAAAATTACAATTCTACTCCCCAAACAGTGTATCCACACTGAGGGGTTCTTACGGTAGGTGTTAAGGCCCGGTGTTCAATCCAGGTTGTAATTGTATCCGAAGCGTCCGGCATTTTCCTGTAAATTACCGCGCGCAATGCCTCTTGTGATATGTCCATGTGCATTTCGACTGCGCAGGCTCGCACAAAACGATGTCCCCGGAGGTGTCCCCGGTCGTTTTTCCTGTAAATTTCCATACAAAATGGCTGTTGTACTTTGTCCATGTGCATTTCGACTGCGCAGGCTCGCGCAAAACGATGTCCCCGGAGGTGTCCGCGGCCATTTTTCCTGTTCTGCATGTCAGGTGCGCGGATGACACGCACAAATCATACAAGTAATCCTGATCTGCCAGGCATTTTTGGTTTAGGAAAACGGCGTGTTTGTCAAGGGTTTTGAGCCCAACCTTAAAGCCTTAGTGGGCTTACGGGGAGCCATGGAGAGGGCCCAATCAGTGCCTTTGGATGATCGAATGGTTGGCAGTTGGCAACCCGTTTTGGCCCCAAAAAGTTCGAGATGAATGCAAGTTGCAAGCTTCTAGGCCTTCTGCACTACCCGTAGATGGTGGCTGGAGTGAAAAACCTGATCAAACCATAGCTGGGGGAACCGTTCAGTTTCATCAATCGTCAGCAGAATCTTCTGGGAAGGGACGTGGAGGAGGAGCTTGTGACGGCCCAGGGACTCCATATCCTACAGAGCAGGAATATGGTGAGATGAGGACTGAGGGACGGATGCCTGGGTGTGATGATCCGGTTTTGTCGCAAGGCCGTGTCAAATCTGCTGGAACTAGTGGCATGGAAGAAAGCACAGATGGTTTGCAACGTGCTCTAGAAGGTGAACTTGTAGAGTTTCTGAGGACTCAAAATTCGAAGCTAATGCAAGAGTTAGCGTGTCTCAAGGAACAACTGCAGTGTGTCGGCGCAAGCCGGTTCAGGGGTGGCTTCTTCACCATGGTCTGCTGTGGATGGAACACCAGTTGAAAGTTCAAAGGGCAATGGAACTTTTCAGGCTGAGCATCATGGTAGAGGTGGAAGTAGAACTCCTGGGCCTAGAACTTGTGAACATGCAGTTAATCCTGAGGCTTGTGAAAAAAGGAATCCAATCCGGCTCACTCCAAATGGGACCCGAGTGCCTGAAGGTCCTCCGCCGGCTGATGAGTCGATGTTGCCGCCAATCCCTCCAATCCCAACAGCTGCCGCTTGTGGACGGGACCAGTTTTGTCAGCAATTTGTATGACACATGTGAGTCAAAGCCATGTGTGAACAATGGTCAATGGTGACATGTTGTGGAACCCCCAGGGTGACCGAAAAACTGGGCATGAACTGTTGACAGCTAGCGAAGCAAAACAAATGTGGCTTGAGCGGGAGGTCCAGTCTCTCAAAACTGCTTTGAATCGGGTATCAGTTCCTACTGACTGCGTTTCAACAATCTGGATACTGCGAACGGTGGTTTTGAAGGGAAACTTGGTTTCATGCTTCGGAAGTGTCACATGCAGCTGCTGCCAATCGTCCGACCTCTGATGATCGAGCCCCATCTGGTGGATGTGGAGAAGTGTCTCTTCATGATCCGGCCTTGCATGGTGGAAGTGGGGACGTATCTGTTCATGATCGGGCTTGCAGGGCGGTTCACTCAGTACCTGAAGGTGTTCGGGCTGGGTTTATGCATGGGGATCATCGTGGAAGTGATCGGGCCTTCGAATTGCATGGAGCAGATCCTCATGGAGATCGGGCTCAGCATCTACGTCGTGCACAACTTTGCGAAGATCGGGCTCAGCAGTTGTTTGGAGATCTTCCTGGACTCGGTCGGGCTCAGCATGTTCATGGGGACTTTTTGAAGGTGATCGGGCTCAGCACGTGCATGGTGATCTACCTCAACTTGATCGGGCTTTGCATGGTGGTGCTATGGCGTTCCCTGGGCTTCATGGTCTTCAACAAGATGGGCGTCTTCATGGTGGAGCGCAAGGGCAAGGAACTATGGGTGTGGCTCCAATGCCGGCATCGTGGGAGTCGTCTGGAGGAGGAAGTGGAGGAAAAACGGAGCTAATGGTGCTTCGTCGCTGGAGTTTGGCGATTGGCTCTACCTATGTGGCCCAATCATGAGGGATTTGCCTCATGTGGCTGGGAGGTGGTGGGATGCTACGGTGCGCCAAGCTCATGCCTTCTACTTGGAATGGAAGGGACTATGTCCTCTACAACGTGTTCAACTTTGCCCACGCCTCCCTGATGAACTGTTGGAAAGCTGCTTCACCAGAACGGAGCAGAGAGCCGTTACCTTGTTGCTCAGGGCAGTGAGGTGAGCGCAGAGCAACAGCAAGAGTTGGTGGTGGATAGAGATCTCAGCAGCACGGCAATTCTCTTCCACCTCTACGTTAGACATCAACCTGGTGGGCCTGGAGAAAAAGCAATCCTCTTGGGGCAGTTCACAACTTTGCAGAAGGCGTCTTCGATGCAAGAGCTGGCTTCGTCTTTGAGGACCTGGCGGCGACACTTTGCAAGGGCTCGTGAAGTTGATGCAAGCTTACCTGATGGAGTGCTTCTCATCAAGGCACTTGAAGCTGCGGCTGTCCAAGTTGCCAAGGAGGACTCTCAAGCAGCATTCAGGCTTTCAACAAGCCGACAATTGACCAACGTCCAACGGAACAGTCAATCTGGAGCTTTAGTCAATGTTTGTTGGCTGAAGCAGAGACGTTGAGTTTGCTGAAGGCTTCTTCTACAACGACCACCAATGCGAGCACACCAGTGCGCCTCAAACAGATGGATGCGGAAGCATCACAAACTTCACCTCAAAAGCCAGGCACTCCTGCCAGCACTGGCAACAAGTCCGGAAAAGGACAAGCCATTCCAATGTCAGAGCAACCATGCAAGTTTTTCCGAAGTGACACTGGCTGTAAGGCCGGAAGAAGCTGCAAATGGTCGCGCTCTTGGGATGGGGTGGAGGACAAAAACAGCAGGTGCTGGATCTGCGGCGGCAAAGATCATCGCAAGTCTAATTGCAAGATCAAGGGCAACGGCAACAAACCTCCATCCAACGAGTCAGGTTTGGGGGGAGGACGTGGTGGGAATCAAAATGCCGCCATCAAAGCAGTTGTCAAGCAGGCTTCAGTTGGAAAAGGTCATGATGGTTCAGCTACAAGCTCAACAACTGATGCAACCACCTCTCAGCCGAGCGCTGATGGTCCAGGATTGGGTGCTGAGGGCAATGGGGCTTTATCTAGTGCAACCTCGGAGGTGGAAAAGGGGGGGAGCTCCAGCTGCCAGTCCTGTGACCACGGAACTATTGGCGGAAGCCACTCAGTTGCTGAAGTCTCTGCGTATGCCCAACTTGAAGGTGATGCGGCGGTCAAGCATTGAGCCATATGCTCAAATTGTGCTGCTAGACAGGTGCAACACATGGCCTACGTCCTGCAGCTTCTGAAGAAGAATGGCAGTCTGCAGAAAGCACTCAGGTGATGTTGGCAGATGGTGTCACGGAAAGCCTCCATTTGAAGCCTGGCACCAAAGTCTTGCTTTCACATCCTCTTCTCAGTCCTGCTGCCGCCTCATGGATTGTCCCACTGGGTTGTTTGAACGAACTCAACTACAAGTTGGAATGGAAGGACCACATGTGCCACCTCTTCACCAAGTCCGGAGATAAGATCGATGTGGAACTTCACAACGGATGCCCATGTGTTGCTCATGACCTTGGAGCAAGACTGCTGATTGTCTTGGAACAACATCAACTACAGCAGGAACTGAAAAAGAAGCCTTGAAGTCGATCTTGACTATGGGTGCCGCCGGTCTTGGCGATAACATGAGCATCGAAATGGCAATGCTTGTCAAGCTCAAGGAAGTGATGCCGACCTTGCCTGATGATTTGGCGTTGAAGTTGGTCCCAGATCTTTCAGTGCTCACGGACCCCTACATCGGCTTGAAGCTTCCATGGAATCGCAGAAAGCGAAAGAGACTCATGATGGCAAAGAATGTGATCACCCACATGTACGGTGGACCTGATGCCCAGTATTGGGAGCTGCGATTAGCCAATGAGCACACTGAGGTGGTGTGCGTTGACCTGGAAGCTCCAACGGCTGCCAATGCATTGGATGAGGCAACTTTTGCATTTCTGCTCTCACTGTGCGCTACTTGGTGGGCCTCCATGCAGAACTACAAGCGCACTCAGGTTTCAAAACGATGATGGTCCACCTGTCCTTCGAACAGAAGATCACCCGTATGGTTTGCCATCACTGACCCCACAGCAAGCATAATTGGTCACCAATGACTCTATCTTGTGGCTGAGGTTGATGCTGATGTACATCCTCTGTGAAGAAGTGCGGCCGAAAGAACAAGCCCAAACAGCATTTCGTTTTGAACAGCCACAAGATCCAGCGGAATACCGCAACCAAAAGGACGTGCTGGAACATCAGAACATCAGTACTTCTCAATGTGGAGGACCCAGGAGTGGAAAAGCTTTCAACAAGCTTGCAGTGCCAAGCTGATCTCATTCGACCAAGGGCCTTTTGGGTATCAAAAACGAAAACCAACCACATTGGCCTTGATCAATTTGGATGAGATGACTCAGCTACAAGATGTCCGAGGACGTGGCACTGAACCTGAGGTTGCTCCACCACAGTCAATGCGCGAAAGATGTGCTCGTTCCAAAACTTGGGCAGCATGGGCACCTGGTTTGAAGGCTGCAGTAGCTGAAGCGATCAGCAGATGGATCCGCCGTGAAGCGCCTCCTCGTGAACAGCCTGATGGATTGACTGGTGCCATGATGGCCAACTACGAGATCAGACCAGTTGGCGTTGGTACTGTTGCTCTTCAACAATGGAAGCAGCACTATTTGCAAGATCATATGCCAGCTCGTCGAGATTGCAGCCACTGTGTGCGTTCTCAAGGCCGAAGCCGAGCACATCGACGTGTTGTCCATCCTGAAGCTTTTGCTTTGAGCTTGGACATGTCTGGAAGGATGACTGGTGGAAAAGATCAAACTCCAGACACTTGCAAGTACTTCTTGGTGTGTTGCTACACGTACCCTGCGAACAAGAAGGAGAAACCTTTGCTACAACGGCCAGACCAAGACGAAGAGGAAGATCATCCTCTACCAGGCCTGGATGACCCTATTTTATCCAGTGATCCTCAAAATCAACAACCAGGAGATGATCAACAACCGCAACAACTTGATGACCAAGGTCAACAACCAGTGGGCCCAGAAGCTCCAAATGCAGATGCTTTCCCAGCAGCTGTTGCGCAAGAAGAGCCTGATCCACTTCAAGAAGAATCGGTGCCTGACATCGTTGAAGATGCCGACGTGAGGTCAGCCTATGGTATGCACGACACATGGATGCGCCTCATCAATGAGTCCAAGGATGTCACTGTCCGCAACCTCACTTTTGCGGAGCCCATCGCGAACAAACCGAGATCTATGCTTGTTTGCGCTCTTTGTGCTGCCCAGTGTATCGGATGCACAGTGATCGTGCACGTGAATTCCTGGCTCGACCTGTCCATCAATGGTGTCTTGGCCGTGGCATCGTTCAAACTATGACTCCGGGCAGTGCATTCAAAACAAATGGCAGAGCACAATGAAGTTGGGATGATCAAAAAAGGTGTCCGCACTTTGATCTCTGCCCATGCGTGCCCTTTGGATAGATGGCCCCTTGCAGTTCGACATGTGGGTGAACGGCGTCTTCGCAACCAGCTCAACCCAGCGGATGGCCTGTTGGAAAGCTTCTGAGGTTTGGTTCAAAAGCCTATGCCCTGAAGAAAAGCTGGCCAGACCGCTACGTTCAATGGCGTGATGGCCGTGAAGAAGTTGTTGTGTGTGGCCCTGCAGATGGATCTTCAATCACTACAACAACGTACTTTGTCAAGTCCACTGCAACGAACATGTGCTTCTATACGGATGATGTTGTGATCCCGGCTGATGATGTCATGTTGGGTCAGCATGCAGCTGATGCTGCTGGTCCCGGGGGAGAAGCTTTGCCATATCTTCCTGAACGTGATGTTTCGCCAGCTCAACCTCAGTTTCGTGATGGTCTTCCAGCACGGCGGTTGTGATCCAAAACTGCTCCGCCACCTGCAATTTCTACTTTGTCATTGTTGCACATTGAGGGGGAGAAGCGCATCCTTGAAAAGTTTGGCAACGTCTTTGAGTTTGCGCTGCCGCCTGATGATGAAATCCCCTCTGAAGGTTCATGGACGCTGGAAACTACGCTTTCACCTGAACCACCTCTACCTCAAGAACCAGTTCAAGAGGATCATGATGCTCCGCTACCAGGGCATGATGATGAAAAGGATGGTGATGGGGGGCAAGATGAATATCCAGGGGTCAATGATCGATGGGAGGAGGAACCAAATGCGGAGGAGGATTTGGGGGAGGTGCCTAACAGCAGAGATGGTGGCTCAAGCTCTGCGGCCTCACAGATTGCTCTTGTAAGAATGACAAAGATGCAAGCCCTCCAAACCATCCATGACAATGTATCGGACTATATACATGATTGAGGAAATCAGCAAGATCACCGGCACTTCTCCAGAACAGATGTGGTGCTTTCCTGTACTCAACAAAGCTCTGGTTCGTAAGGTTGAAGTCGAAGAACAGACTCAACAACTTGTGGAGGAAGTTCAAGCTGAAGAACAACTACAGCTCGCCAATGAGTTCTTGGTCACCAAGACTGTCAGCAACAAAGAGGTCCGCGAGAACGTTGCGGATTGGACTGAATCCATCAAGGCTGAGTACGAGCAGCTTGCTGTCAACAAAAAGGGTGTCAAACCTATGTCAAGGTCTCAACTGCAGAAGATGGCTGATGAGCAGGGCAGAACCTTGGAAATTCTTCCTGCAAAGATGGTTCGCACGCGAAAAGCTGGAACTGGAGCTTATCGCTCAAGAGCAGTGGTGTGTGGCAACTACCAAACACCAAATGATGACAATACGTATGCTGGTGGGGCCGATGGAACTCAGATCCGAACTATGCTGAGGATCAGTGCACAATATCGTTGGCGAGCAGCTTCTACTGACATCCGCACAGCGTTTCTCAACGCACCAAGACTCGATGACTCCAGGCTGATCGCTATGGAGGTGCCTCATGTCTACAAGCTGCTGGGACTGGCAAAGCCTGATGAAGTATGGCTCATCGTCCTGGCAATGTATGGACTTCAAGCTTCACCACGTGACTGGTGCTTGCATCGTGATGCCACTCTTCCTACGTTGAAATGGACCAGGAACGGGCCTAGTGGATTGCTGACCGGAAGCTCTGAAAGAACCAGAGATGAAAACGTCTGGTGCCTTGAAGAGCTGGATGAATCCGGTTATGTTCACTGGAATGGCTTAATGTCTGTCTATGTCGTGAGGCAGTTCATGGTGCGTTGCGAGCTCTTTCTGAAGTTTGACTATGTCTTCTGTGGAATGGGCTGGTGTTGACAAGCCTCTCAAATACTGTGGCTTTGAAGTCTCTGAGGATGCCAACGGCAATGGATTTTTCATGCCAACCAGCACATGTATTGAGCAGGAGATGTTGCAGCGATGGAACATCAACGGCGGTGTTGAATATCCTCACTTTAAAGTTGCTGAGGATCAAGAAGTTGAAGAAGACCCAGATCTGGGTGATATCAAAACAGCTCAGGCTTTGGCTGGATCGTTGTTGTGGCTGAGCTCTCGTACAAGACCTGATCTTGCCCATGGAGTCGCAACCATGAGCCGACTGATGACCAAAGCTCTAATCAAAGCCATTCAGATCGGCACAACGTTGATGAAGTATGTGAAAGGCAGCCCTGGTGTTGGATTGCGTTACACTACGAATGTGCCTGATGATTGGGGTGTCCATGGTCAGCTGAAGGTAAAGAGACGCGATTTGCTGCTGGAGATCTTCTGCGACACCGCTTGCTCAGCAGGCTCTGGTCACAGGAGCATTCAAGGCATTGTTGTATGTCTTGGTGGTCAACCGATATGTTGGCAGACAAGCCACAACAGCCTTTTTGTCACCCACAGTACGGCCGAGGCAGAAATGGTCCGCTACTGTGAATGTGAAGGCCTGATCGCAGGCAAAGCAGCAGAAGCATTCGTGAAAGAGCTCACTGGTGTTACAGCTGTGAAAAAGGTCATCTATGGTGACAACATTGCAGCGATTGGGCTAGCCAATGGTACTACCTCTTCTTCATGGCGTACCAGGCACTTGCGTATCCGAGCAAGTCTTCTCAAAGAAGCCCTTGATGAAACTGATGCAGCTGGTGGCCAATGGAAGTTGATCCACGTTCGTGGCCTTGATCTAGTTGCGGATGGATTTACAAAGCCTCTTTTTGGAGCTGCGTTCAAGCGATTCTTGGAGAACTTGGGCATGAACATTCCGTTCTTGCGGGCTGAAGATCCTGAGGTGCGTGCAGCTCAGATGCGAAATCTTGGCAGCCGAGAACGAGTTCATGCTGGCGCAGCTTCTGCATGAGCTTTCTGGTTGGTCAGGCGATGCTGACTGAAGCCACAGCTCTTGAGTTGAAGAGCGAAGGTGATGAAGCTGATCCGTTATGGATAGCGGCAGTGGTGCTGATGATCCTTGGGGCAATCTATGCAGGCAAGTTAGCTGTGATGTCAGCGATGTGTTGCCTGAGACGATTGCAGTGGTTCAAAGAGCTTCCTGCAGCTGTCGCAAATGATGGTGATGCATCATCAAGCTCCGCTACCAAAAATGATGATGTGAGATCAAGTTCTATGCAGCGGTCGGGCACTTCGAATGCAGCTGGACCTTTGAGCAGTTCTAGCCCTGAGCAGGCTGTGGTTGCTGGCCCTGTGCAGGCCGTGTCAAGCGATGGTCCAGGGCAGGCCACTCGCTCTCCTTGCAGATCTGCGGCTGCTGTGGCGTCTTCGAGCGGCGCTGAATCTGGCCCTGTGCAGGCCTCTACTGCTGCTGTGGCGTCTTCGAGCGGTGCTGAATCTGGCCCTCGGCAGGCCTCTACTACTGCTGCTGCGGCGTCTTCGAGCGATGCTGGATCTGGCCCTGAGCAGCCCTTGCTGCTGACGTATCTGGCCTTGAGCAGGCCCTGCGCGCTGTGGCGGCGATTTCCGGGCGAGCTGTTGCGGATGGTGTTAGCCTTGAGCAGGCTATGCGGCAGCATGCAGCTGGAGTGAGCGAGGCATTGCGGGTCGGGGGCCGGTCTGTAACAGACTTGCACAACCCATGGAACTTGTTTCAACATGAAAATAGAGGCAAAGGATGGTCGCCGGCTAAAATGGCCTGTATGTACACGAAGTGGCGACAACATCCGAGGGATAAAATGCCTTGAGCCTAAGAACCAATTTTAGGTTCCTTTTTTTTGTTTTGAAATGCAATTCATGTTGGCTGGGTGCCAAGAATTCAACTCCAAGATCGTGAAATCACGATTGGGGGAATCTGTCAGGTGCGCGGATGACACGCACAAATCATAGAAGTGATCCTGATCTGCCAGGCATTTTGGTTTAGGAAAACACCGTGTTTGTCAAGCCTGTAAATTTCCAGACACAATGGCTCTTGTGCAATGTCCGACTGCATTTCGACTGCGTGGGCTCGCACAAAACGATGTCCCCGGAGGTGACTCCGGCCATTTTTCTTGTAATTTTCCATGCAAAATGGCCCTTGTACAATGTCCGTCTGCATTTCGACTGCGTGGGCTCGCACAAAGTGTGCTTCCCGGTCTTGGGATCGGTCTTCCTCCTCAACATCCTCCTCCTCAACGTCATCATCTTCCTCCTCAACATCAACATCATCATCTTCCTCTCCTCGCAATCATCATCATCGTCGTCGTCGTCGTCGTCATCATCATCACCCTCACCATCATCATCAACATCGCCATCAGCATCACCATCAACATCATCGTCAACATTAATTACCATCATCACCCACATTAATTAACATCATCATCAACATTATAATTAATACATTATCCTTTTACTCCCCCCACACTGTTTGGGGTTTCTTGTCGGGATAATGAGGTGATGAATCCCTTGTAACAACCCGTAGCCATTTATTCTCCATTCATGCCAAACGGCAAGTCGTGGTTCAAACCCCCGCATTTTATCAGTGGCGTATGAAAGACCTGTAAATTGCGTCGTAAATCACCGGATGTCATCAGAACGAACCTCGCCATGCCGATTCCTCGCCCAGGAAAGTGGTGGGTTTTATTTTTTTGTGCCTTCCGGGTACCATCGGACATTTGGCCGCAAAGTCTTTTCCGGCTGAGACCTCAACTGTTAAAGTAGCTGGAACTGACCGAATTAAGTTGGCTGATTGAAAAAAGCATTAATTACTTTTTTTTTCCCCACATCTTTGTGTGGGGTTCTTGTTTTTGGTTCTGTATCCCGCCGTCCGCCTCCGCCTCTGCCTCATCTTTGTCACACACACACGCACCATCTTTCACACACAGCTTTGTCACACACCATCTTTCACACACAACTTTGTCACACACCATCTTTCACACACACACACAACTTTGTCACACACCATCTTTCACACACACACAACTTTGTCAGACACCATCTTTCACACACAACTTTGCACACACACACACACAACTTTGTCACACACAACTTTGCCACACACACACACACTACCTTTGACCAACCACCATCTTTCACACACAACTTTGTCACACACACAATTTTGTTACACACCATCTTTCACACACAACTTTGTCACACACACAACTTTGTCACACACACACACAACTTTGTCACACACCAACTTTCACACACAACTTTGTCACACACCATCTGTCACACACAACTTTGTCACACACACACAACTTTGTCACACACCTCCTTTCACACACAACTTTGTCACACACCGGTGACGCCGCGGCACTTTGCGTGGCAGGCGTGGCGTGGCAGGCGTGGCACTTGTGGCACTGGGCTGGATTTGGTGGCGCGCTTGGGGCCTATAGTCGCCGCGGCACTTTGCGTGGCAGGCGTGGCACTTGGCGACATCCACCATTGTTTTGCGTGGCAGGGGCCGCGCTTGGTGACATCAACCTTCCGTTTGCGTGACAGGCATGGCACTTGTGGCACTGGCTGGATCTGGTGGCGCGCTTGGGGCCCATTAGTCGCCGGTGGCACTGTGGCACTTTGCGTGGCAGGCGTGGCACTTGGCGATGTCGACCTTCGTTTTGTATACTGGTGTCGCACTTGGCGACGTCGACCTTCGTTTTGCGTGGGAGGCCTGGCGCTTGTTGACATCGACCTTCGTCTTGTGTGGCAGGCGTGGCACTTATGGCACTGGGCTGGATCTGGTGGCACGCTTGGGGCCCGTTACTCGTCGCGGCACTTTGCGTGGCAGGAGTGGCGCATGGCGACATTCACCTTCGTTTTGCGTCACAGGGGTGGCACTTGGTGACATCGACCTTCGGTTTGCGTGGAGGGCTGGCACTGGGCTGGATCTGGTGGCGCGCTTGGGGCCCGTTAGTCGCTGGTGACGCCGTGGCACTTTGCGTGGCAGGCGTGGCACTTGCTCCGTTTTGCGTGGCAGGCGTGGCACTTATAAGTTATATGGCACTGGGCTGGATATGGCAGTGGCACGCTTGGGGCCCGTTAGTCGCCGGTGACGCTGCGGCACTTTGCGTGGCAGGCGTGGTCCACCTTCGTTTTGCGTGGCAGGCGTGGCACTTGGTGACATCGATCTTCGTCTTGTGTGACAGGCGTGGCACGCTGGATCTGGTGGCACGCTTGGTGCCCGTTAGTCGCCGGTGACGCCGCGGCACTTTGCGTGGCAGGCGTGGCACTTGGCGACGTCGACCTTCGTTGTGTGGCAGGCGTGGCGCTTGCATGGACCTTCGTTTTGCGTGGCAAGCGTGGCGCTTATGGCGCTGGGCTGGATCTGGTCGGTGGCACGCAACTTTATCACACACAATTCGTTCACACTCATACACAACTATTTCACAACTTCCTCATGCACAACTCTGCCACATACAACTTTTGTACTTATCGATCCTCCACCACCTCCATTTGTCTTTCCTCCCTTCCCCGTCCCACTTCAACTTCTGCTTCTGATTTTTGGAAGAAATTGACTCGTGGCGTTATCCGGTCCTTTAATTCTTGACGCTTTAAAGCGAGAGACCATGCATGCACTCATCAAATGCAGCATGTGAAGTCTGTGTCCTGTGTTCATACCCAATTTCACTGAAACTCATTCGGAGGATTGCTTCTGGTCCGACGGAATGCCAGCATTTCGCGCAATGGAGAACCCTTCACCGTCACATGGCTGTAATATGCTGTAATATTTTGCAAGAGTGGTAGCTGCTTGTAGCCCGTGCCAGGTGGAATTGACACAAAAGTCCAAGGGGTTCAGCGCAGCCATCTGCGTTCTTTTTAACAGGGAACATGCAGATAAGGACTGACCCACTGATTGCCGATTGCATTTTGCTGGCATCTTATATTGTGCTGCATGTGTGAGTAACATTTTTTTAATGGTGTTTATGCATGACTCCATGACCATGGTTTTCGCTTCTCTCCCTCAGTCTCAGCTGACTCCGACCATGTCCACTGAAGTGCTGAGAAATGGATTAAGTCTCATGTTTCACCCCCAAAGAATTTTGGAGTACTGCATGTCCCCATGTTGATATATACGCTGTTCTGCTGAAACGATTGCCCGCGCAACAAACACACGCAACTGATGCGTTTCCAATTGGATGCGTCTTGTGGCAAAAATCCCGTCCCAGTTGCGACGGTGCTTTGCGATTTTTAGCCTATGACTCTACCCTCTGGATCCCTCTGGCAATTTGTCTTAATATTTAATATAACATAATATAGCTATGAAAAACCCACCATGATCCCAGTTTATAGATGATTTTCGCATTTAAAACTGGTCCAATGCCATGTTTGATCACCACAGGGTACTTTTGCGGCATGATATGTCAGAAACGAGGTCCCGAAAAACGACGAGGTGTATCCTGAGCTGGTGAAAGCCGTCGCACGGCAGCAGCTGCATGTCCATGGTTTGTTCCGTGAGAGCGCCTCAAAACATGTATTGACGGCGATCAAAAAATAGAGTGGTTGGGTACATGTGCAATCTATATAAATACTATTGTATTCTGTACTAATTACTGAATACTAAAGATGAACAGTTCTGTGGATCCATTGGTACCCTATTTCTGAGCCATAGTTTCACGTAGCCATATATGTATGTAATTGTTATATAAGACATAAAGACGTTGTGGTGGTGTATGTCCTTGTGCCACCCGATGCCAGTATAACAGGGTAGCAGTTGGAAGTATGGCCCTAGGCCATGATAGCCATGATCCCTGGATTTCCTGCTGTTTGCCCCTCACCCAGCAGGTTATGCCCCTGTGGTCCCTGGGCTTCTTTGCCGCGGTCCTGGTGGGCAGCGTGTTGTCGTCCTTCAACTCTGCGCTGAATTCGGCGGCCACCATCTTCGGGTTGGAAATCTACAAGGTCTACATCAACAAGGACCCAAATGACACCTGCGTAAAACCAAGACATTGTTGTAATGGACCCCCCTGTTAAAGGGGTTCGGCAGCGGGTTTCTTGCGCTCTTCAGAATGTCTCTTTGATACGATCAAGCTAGATTTCAGTCTGGTCCAACCTGCGTTTCTTGTTTCCGTTGCGCAATCACATCAAGGCAACATGGAGGTTCAACAACCAGTCAAGACTCAGCATGGACAAGTTTTCACGGACAATGAACCCAGATATGTATGCAGATGTTCTTGATGTAGCCGTAGAAGTAGAGTTGGAGGTCTAGGCCAAGGAACCCTTTGGTGGTTTTGCCAAATATCCATTGTCGGGTCAATGGGATTCTTTTCTTGGTGACCCATGTGAATGTGGACCCCATCAATTCAGCTACAAATCACGTGGCTGGTCATGAACCCTCCACCAAGGCATCAGGGTTTTTTGATCCCTTCCAAAGTGTATGATTACATTTAATAACATACCTACATAATATGTATATGTATACGTATATATAATAATTAGATATTTAAAACAATTTTAGACACTATATTGAATTATGTTCTATTTTTTTTGATTATATTATATGTTTTTTGCTTTATTTTATCATATTATTGTTATTATTCTTATTATTGTTACTGTTATTGTTATTGTTATTATTGTTGTTATTATTATTATTATTAATATAATATATATGTATGTATGTATGTATGTATGTATGTATGTATGTATAAATTTATTTTTATTTCCCCACCTGCCAGGTGAGGGTTGTTAGATTTTATCAGAGCTGTTCTCCTCATCCTCCCCCTCCTCCTTCTCCCCCCCCTCCTCCCCCTCTTCCTCCTCCG